ATCCTATCTTTGCTCCGGGGTTGGTAGTGATAAAGAGTAAGTTCATTTAGTTAAAAAAAACGTTTCATAATCGAGCTGTTGGTGGGTCAATGTCGATCTGTCAAAAGTTTAATAAACGGTTGGACAGAGTACCAATAATCTGAAAACCGGAAAACACTGATTTAACCCAGTCGATGTCTCACAGCTGTTACTACTATAGTCTACCTCGCTTACCCATTTCGGGACACTTCACACGCATTTATAATATATATATATATATATAATTACTTTGGATAACAAATAATTTAATAAGGATAAAATTCAGGGAATTCCGCAAAATGCATTGTTTGCAATTATAGACGTAATACACTGCGTTGGAAAGATATATGACTCATTATTACATATAATAATTATCCCTGTGATATTTCAGAACGTCTGGCGTGCGTCATTTCTCTGATTCGGAAGTTATACGAATCGGATGTAGAGCGTAAACGTTCTCTCTCGCTCCAATAGTCCGCTCTTATATCAAAGTTCTAATTCACATGTATACATATATTTATTTCATAGGTAAGCCAATTACATTTCAAATCACAATATTGATATTACTAATTTGTAAGGCAGATCCCTCTAAAAAAGAAAACTAGCAACTTTAATGGTTGCGCATTATAAATAAGGCATAAAGGAGTTTATTATAATCCACTACTTTATTATAATAATAATATATCTTTATTGTTTCTCTCACAAAGTCTTAGTATAGATACAAAAACAGTGCTTAATTATCTAAATAGTACAATATTTAAGTCTGTGTGAGAGACTGGCATCCATACTAGGAGACCTGTATTACAGATCACCAGCCCCTCCACACTCCGGACAAAGCAAGTACAGCTTACTTATACTTAGATAGTTACATCAAGAAATGACTTTATTAATAGACTTAAGGCGCGAGGGTGTGTGGATAAATGAGTGTGTGCATGTGTGTGTGATGGTGTGTGTATGTGTGTGTGAAGGTGTGTGCGTGCGTGCGCGTGTGTATGTGTATGTGTATTTGCGTGTGCGTGTGTATTTGCGTGTGCGAAACTATAATTATTACACAAAGATTAAGTCAGAAAAATTAACTTGGTTGGTAGAGTCTGTGTGTTGTGCATTTAATTGAGCGCTTCTTATCTCTGTAGTATACGAGGCATATAAATATTCCTTTTATTAACACCATAGCCACCTGATATATTTTTTTCTACATCCTGTATAATTTCGTGATAGTCTATTTTTAATTGTCATAATCATTTGTATTGCAAACGCGTAGAGTTTAAAATGAATGCTTGTATTTTATCCATGACTAATAATAAAATATTTTCCTAAGTATGAAAATAAATAAGTACCGTTAAACAGTTCCCGGAAAGTTTAAAGCAAACAAAATAATTAACGTAATAGCTGATCCAATTTTATAAAACTAAAATGAAAAAATTATTCGTCATAACAATACGCACTCTTGGAGTAATAAGGCCACATCTCGATATCCAATGAACACTAAACCAAGCCAAGTAAATTTTTTGGTCATCTCTATTTTTATTTTGTTTATTGTTTCTTTATTTCTTAATTCGGGGAGCATAATATTAGTAAATAAAATAAGGCTGTTTACATTAAACACAGAAAATTACCAAAAAATTAAGTTCGAAATTATAGATCGATGTGTAAAAAAAAATGACAACTTTCAAAAATTGTTCGAATGAAAATAGTCTCTTAACAGCAGTAGAGCCCCTTGCGAAAGAATTCGTAAAGGGAATTTTATTTTACTGTAACAGGCGCAGTGGCAGTGCACATCAGATATATAGGATACGCGTGTCGGTTAACACCTTGTTCTTGCCCGTCACTTGACAGAATAAAAAATATTGAAATTTTACGATATTACGTCTTTTCCGTACACTGTGCGACGTGGTCAGCACAGCCACCGCTTTCACAGTAAAAACTAGTCAATTGAACACAGAAATATTAGAATCTTGTTTCAATTTCAAAAGTTACGTTTAGAAATCCGAATATGCCATTAATTTAAATATACGCATCTAAATTTATCCTAGACGAAAGCGGATATACAGGTTGTTGTTTATTTACAATACCACCATATACAGAGTGATGTTTTCAAATTGAAATCCTTTGTTGATGTACTTTTCATCGTTCTGTGTCATTTCTGCCGCCAAATAGTAGTAATGTGACCATTACTGTGTTCCAGTATTGAAGTGTTGAGGGTGCTGGTGAAATGGATAGGCACATGGGACTTGGCAACTTATGTCTCTAAGTGACGAGCGCAGTGGCAGTGCCCGTCAGATTTTTGCGATTTGAAATTCTGATTGGCACTGCAACTTTTATGGACAGACATGTAGCTTACGACAGACACACAACTTGCTCGTTCCGTCACTTGATATTATGGATATTATGAAAAAAGTCTATAACTTTTTTATGCTTTAATAGCAGAGTTATAAAAGAACAATGGCGAAATTATTGTTAAAAGAATTCTTCTTTAATAACGCACATACTCATAGCCCCGCACTAGGAAAACCCTGTATCGCGGGTGCCACGGACAACCACATAGACAACCACAAATTACACCTAAACTCACAAGATAAATAAACCTAGGCCATACAAATATTTCTCCCAGCCCGGGAATCGAACCCGGGACCGCTGCATGGCAGTCCAGCACATAACCGTTCGGCCACTGAGGCAGTTGAAAACTCAAACTTCGTAATTACAAGTTCGGGTAAAACAAATAGGTACATTACATTCTTCAAAATGAATTGTTTAAGTCTGGAAGGAAAATCATTTAAAAATGAAACTCAAAGGACTAAAACTGTCAGAGTCTTGGGGTCGTATTCCAGAACTCTACTCAATGCTCAAGTCAGGCTTGCACTGGAAACACAAGCACTGGAAATACGACCTTAATAGCAGGGACTTGAGTATGATTTCGAGTGCTTTAAACCATACTCAAATCCTGACTTGAGCATTGAGTAGAGTTTTAGAATACGACAATTAGAGTCGTATTCTAGAACTCTACTCAATGCTCAAGTCAGGATTGCACTGGAAACACAAGCACTGGAAATACGACCCTAATGGCAGGGACTTGAGTATGATTTCGAGCGCTTTAAACCATACTCAAATCCTGACTTGAGCATTGAGTAGAGTTCTAGAATACGACCCTTAGTTTCTTAACTTTGAGCGACATCTAACAACCGAAAAGGGATTTTCAATACCTAAGTATAGATTGGTCCACATTAAATTAGTTTACGTAATATCCAATGCATTGATTCGATAGATTTACAATAAGAGATTAACTACTAAAACAAAAAATAAAGTAGATAATTCCTTTTCTAAACATGCCACGCAAGAAAGTAGTAAAATTGACAAGAATGTTCCTGATGAGGGATAGACGGCATGTTTCACAAAAAAAATTACCATTAACTCGGTCTTCTTTTCTTATGGCTTAACTCCATTTGTTTTGACCATACCTTAAAAAATATTTTCGTCTGAACTTTTGTCACGTTACAAACACCACGGCACCGTTCAACTTATATTAACGCCATTTAAGGCTTCTGCAATTTAATTTGACATAATACACCGATTATATTTTATTCAATTATATAAAATATAACCTTCAGAAACAAACTGAAATATCTCTAATTTCAGACTTCTCAGTATAGTAAACCCGAAACCAAACTTGTTCAGGAGTTTAAACTCTATATTTTCACATATTTTGCAATAATGTCAACAAAATTTGATATGTGAGTTCGCCGTTGTTCTTTCACAAATGCATAATTTGTTCCATGCCGTTCGTATTCTTCTTTTTAACCTCTTATGAGCAGGTTTCATATAATGATTATATTTATTATGTGGCATTATTATATTCAAGAGTACAAATAATGACTTGGCATTCAATAAGAAATAATACATTAAATATGCTATAATTTTAAAGGGGTCAGTGCTCTATTGCACGCGCACAATAATTTGTAGACTGGCAACTTTGGGTGGCTAAATTTATTCTTTGTGTTAACTGGCTGCCAGTCATTTGGTGGCCGGGGGCTCCGACCACTTTAAATTCATTGTATTCTACTTAGCGAGGAGTTATGCCTGCGGCCAACAACAGTTGTTCATTATAATAGAAAGAATCTCGGCTGACTGGGAGTGTCCCAGGTCACACGGCATGCCCGTTGAGCATTTCTTGGTTGAATACTCAATCAAATCTTATGGTAGATATACGTACACACATATATACTTTATATATAGCTATCGTTATATTTCCCACGTTTAAGGTATTTTAAATTTTATTGAAAACAATCTATGATCTTTAACAAATTAGCATAAAAATGAAACTTTGTTTAAGTTTGAATAGTTCATTGCGCGGTCGCAGGAATAGATATATTTTTATACATTTACACACTTTACGAAGATTATGGGTTTTCCCCGTCTATAAAGTCTACTAACCTCTGACTGCCTTCATTGGCAAGTTTTTTCATACACTGCCGTTTATTTTTATGGTACTTTGACATAGGTTTTAGTTAGGTTTAGGGTTAGGTTTTTGTAAGGACATTTTCAATCTGGTTGAGACATTATATAGTTTAATGGCAAATGAGCACTTTGTAAAAGAAAACATTCCAGGGAAATACTGCCACCTCACCTATTTCTGCCACCAAGCTTGAGTGAGTAAGTGAGCTTTACCGGATTCCGGTTTTGAAGGGTAAATTGCTGGTGAATTTACAAGCACATATTTTACATTACTACATTACGCCCGTTTTGTAATATACTTTTTTATGAAATCAATGACGGGACGAACGGACGGCAGTGTCGTCCAAAGCTTTAAATCGCAAAGATCTGAGGCACTGTCATTGCGTCGCACTGAGGCATAAATTGACAAGTCCCATGTCATAGTAATTTCACCAGCCCTTCAAAACTAGAGTGAATTATGTTGTTTTGGTAGTCTTAATATACATGGAATTATTATTGTTATTTTAAATTGATATTATAGTGTTTGTAAATAGGTCGAGTTGTCCCAGGAGCCCAACCTGAGGAAGGATCCATCCAAGTCTCAGGTTCATACTCCTACGTCGGTGATGATGGTCAAACTTACACCGTAACCTATACGGCTGACGAGAACGGTTTCCAACCCCAGGGTGCCCATCTGCCTACTCCTCCTCCCATTCCTGAGGCTATTTTGAAGAGTTTGCAGCTTACTGCAGGAAATGGAGGTAATGTGTTTTTGTCTGGTTACGATTAACGTAGAAAAATATATTTCAAATGTAATCAATATGTTTAATTGCATACATGTTGTTCCATAGGTCTTAAATTAGTCGATATAAATGAAACATGAACCTTATAAAGGCACAGTAATGTCAAATCTATATTCGCTTCGTTTAGTAGCAGTAGAGCTCATTGTAAAGCTTACCTATTTCTGCCTCTAAGCAGTAATGTCAGCATTATTGTGTTCCGGTTTTGAAGGGTTAAGGGTGCTGGTGAAAGTACAGGCACATGAGACTTGTCAACTTACGTCTCAGGGTGACGGGCGAAATGACAGTGTCTTAGAATAATAACGCATAGAATGATAGTTTCATATCAAACGAACTGTCACAAGTGAGGCAAAAATCAAATTCATGTAGGCTAGTTTTAGTAGTAGGTTAATTTTCGGTTTTAGCGAATATTTATATAAAAATAGAAGTTAAAACGCGTTACTTCCTTGTGGAATGTGATGTTAGTATCTATTTTATGTTTGTCTGACGTATTTTTACACTCATTTACCGCACATTTCGTCATTTTTAGCTAAAATTCTTGATCTGTTCGCGGTGCAAGTTGACCATGAGCACTGAAGGCCCGCCCGCTCCTTTAGGCCCTTTTGGCGCGCTTCAATTTGCCTCACTTAGCGTGTGCGGACTAGGTTTCTATGCGTTATTATTTTAAGGACAGTGCCCTTCAAATCTTTGCCATTTAAGGCTCTAAGTGGCACTGCAACTTTTATGGACAGGCGTGTAGTTTATCATCAGGCGCACGACTTGTTCGTCGGGTCACTTGATATTATAAAAAAAAACACAATAAATGTGTAATTGCCTTCGGACCAGTTATACCATTGAATTATATCATTAATGGTATAAATTTCAGTAAAAATAAACAGATAGATATTTGTCTGGTCAGAGGTTTAGTCAGAACATGTTTTGTCCAAAAGAAAGTCCACAATGGTCCAAAATAATAATGAGGTCCTTCACATTTTCCAATTTCGTTAAATACAGATTTAACACACCTGCATTCGTACTTTGACAATGATAATTCTTAGTTTACATTTTGGATATCTAATTATAATTTATACTATAGCCTTTTAATTGAACTTTCGTTTTCTTTACAGCCCATTACGACAGCAGAAAGAGCAGTTATGATGCTGACATTGGCTACTAGATCACAAGAAACAATAACACTGTAGGTTATGAGACGTTCATGGTGATTCGGTAAATGTTTTTCGCTAGTTATGAGTTCCATACTACGGTATGATTTTTATATAAGTCGGGAACAAGGTAGACATCGACAGATACGTCAGTCTTTAAAGACTAGTGGCAGTCAACCTGTGACGATAGAGCGAGTCACTTATATTATGTAATCTCTGAAGAATAATAAAAGCCATACTGCAATAAGAATTTTGCAATAAGTTTGAATATATAAAGGAAAGTGTGCGATGGAAATGCACGATTTAATTCCGCCTTACCCTTTCCATCATCGGGGAACTAGGGTAAGACGATACTCCACACCGGGACAGCCCCATATCTTTCGTAACGTAAGTTTTGTTTAGACCCTATCAACCTCTTGGTTATGCTAGAAGGGCACTATGCACTGTACGAGCAAGCCCGTACAGGGACTCAGTTAGGTTCTGACCCCAGATCAGCCCGTTTGCACGGACCTCCTCCGGTTCTCAGATGGCTAGTGCCTTAGGTGAGCCGCCCCGGGTGCATGTAAAGTACCCTCCGTATTTTCCAGTTAGGAACCGGAGCTGCAGGCACGCTCACTTCTCGTTGCCCCCTGCGCAACTAATGGTTGCCACCGCTAAACCGTTGACTTCAAAGTCCACCAAATCTTTTCATTGGTTGCGGACGGGGACAGTTGCTTCAACTGTCGGTACTAAGTAAAGTCCGATCGTGTATGGAGTACTATGAGGAATCGTTCTGCTAAATGCCAACTGAACACCTTGGATAAAAGGCTTAAGTAACACGGAATTTTTTGAGACAAATCTGCAAAACCTTGAGCAACGACGTAAAGTTGCCTGCTATTATTGGTATTCTACAGGTTATATCACGAAGAGTGCGAAGGGATTGTTGGATATAATTCTGCCTTTCCATCATCGCGAGCCTAGACGTAGGCTGGGTTCCACCTCCACCTTTATGTTGTGGATATTGCAAAGATTCGCACGAAGCGTTACGCTTCCACATTTATGTATATGAAGAACGGCTATGAAATAGAATTCCCTGCCTGTAGATGTGTTCCCTGAATGCTATAACTTGGACATTATAAGGCGAGAGTGAATAGGCAACAGATAAATGTGCATGCTCCATCGTCGATCATTGACACTTTCCGTCAGGTGAGATGGAAGTCAAGTGTGCACTTATAATTTTACATAGAAAAAGAAACCTGTAACTAATGACAATCGCTTAAAAATAACACAGTAAATGACATTATCCAAACGAGTGTCATATTAAGTAATATAAAATTAAGGGCAGAGGCCAGTACTTATCCATGTGTTCAAATTAGTTATTAATGTTATATTTGTACAAATTTTGTAAATAATTAAATATAAATAAAGAAATTTAAAAAATATAAGACTCCATTTTTTTTCGTCGCACGTTCTCAGATGGCTAGTGTCCTAGGTGAGCCACCCCGGGTGCATGTACAGTACCCTCCCTAATTTTCAGTTAGATACCGGAGCTGCAGGCACGCTCACTTCTCGTTGCCCACTGCGCAACTAATGGTTGATACCGCTAAACCGTTGACTTCAAAGTCCACCAAATCTTCTCATTGGTGGCGGACCGGGACAGTTTCTTCAACTGTAGGTACTAATTATTTGGGTATACTGTGTTAGTGTTATACTAAAAGTATCTTTAATAAAAAATATCTTTGTTAAAACTTTAACCCAACGTCTAAGTTCGCACCTTTGGTGTAATAAGACCTCGTCTGTAAAATGACGACTTTAGAGGAGAGTTTAAACATTTTAGGCACTAAATTAGTCGATAACTTTTTATGCTTAAATAGGAGACATCAAATTTCACAAACAAATAACTCGATAATTCATGTTATTTTTATGTACTTTCATGCGATAAAAGCAACTCTTGGGTAACGATTAGAAAATATGTGGTTGTATTGTACCAAGGGTTTGGTACAATGAAAAGGCATCTCAATCAATCGTTATTATGAGACGTACAAATACCTCGAAACGGTGGTAGGTGTGAAAATAGAGGGGTACGCGATTTTGAAAACTACCTCTGTGGCCAAACGGTTACCGTGCCGGACTGCCACGCAGAGGTCCCAGGTTCGATTCCCGAGCCGCGGGAATATTATATGGCCTACATTTATTTATCTCGTGAGTTTGGGTGTAATTTGTGGTTGTCTGTGTGTTTGTCCATGGCATCCGCGACTCAGGGTTTTCCTAATGAGAATGTGCTTATTATTATTAATCACACAATTTATATTTTCTTGTTTCTGAACGCTCTGAATATTTTTCATTGGAATGCAGATTTACTGATGTTTTTCCTTTGTATTGTTTTAAAATAAGTGCTACAATCTGTTTTTTGTAATCTGTACCATTACAATATTAAAAAAATTGTTAAAAACATTACAAAGCTTTAGCTTTACTCTGGTAAATCCACCTTAATTATGTTACAAACGTAACAAATGCCTTCATCGTCCTTTTGCTAGATTCAAAGTACCGTGAAATCTATAATAACATATTATAGATCGATAAACGTAAGCGTGTAATAATATCAAGTCACAGCGTTTAAAATTACCTTAAAATGACTACGATAGTTCAATTTGATGAGCTTAGTCATCATTTTACGCAACTTGTAAGGGCAAGGTACTTACTTCTATTCTCAGCACGGATATATTTTATAAGTACTTTCATTAAGGCGAGGTATTTCAACGCCAACTCAGATATTATAGGAGGTGAGGTGTGGGGGGTCGCCTCTCGCGCTTCTCTCCTGAAAATTTGTAATTTTGTAGATGTGGCCTTATTAGACAAGCGTGCGAAATGTTGGATGAGCGTGTAGCTTACCATCAGAAGCGCGAACTGTTCATTTCGTCACGTACCTAGCTTCATAAAAAAACACATCGTGATGACCACGACAGCTAAGCGTCAAGAGTGCTACGAAAAAGTTGAAGAAACGGGATCTCATAAGCGGTCACTCCCACTATCAAGAATAAACATAATTTACAAATTTAACCGAAAATGTTATTTTCATACACGAGAACGAGAACTAATGCAGTAAGTACATTATGGAATGTATTCCATAACGTACTTACTTGGGTTTGGGTTTGGGTGTACCCAAACTGGGGACGAAAACTGAAACCTAAATTCATGTTGATACCTAATCCAGTTCCTACATTCATACATACATACATATACTTCACACCTTTTTCCCATCGGGGTAGGCAGAGACAACAATCTTCCACTTGCTGACACACATCTTTCGCTTCATCAACACGCATCAATGCTTTTATATACGCTCGTCGGTTAAGGGTACTCTTGACCTGACCCTAGCTTTTTAAATCTGTTTCCTCAATCTTCTTTCATTCATTCTCTCTACATGTCCGAACCATCTAAGCATCCCTTTCTCTATCTTTGTCACTATATCTTCTATCACGCCGCAACGCTCTCTTATCACACTGTTCCGTAATTTATCCATCCGAGTCACTCCAGCCATACTTCTCAAAGCTTTCATTTCCACTGCATTAATTCTACTTTCATGCTTCTTCTGCCAAACCCAACATTCACTACCATACATAAATGAAGGAACCAGCACCCCCCCAAGCACAGCCAATCGTGCCTTTTTAGACACTTTCTGGCTGCCCATGAAGACATGCAGGGCACCAGGTGAATGGTGCCCTGTATGCCATTCCCTGCGTTCAATCTCCTCTTTTCTTTCATATTTTTCATCACACGTAAACATAGAACCCAAATACACAAACTCTTTTACTTATTCCACTTTCTCTCCTTCAATCAATATCGTGAAATAATCCACTTCCTATTCAATCCATGTTCTAGTACATTAAATTTTACTTTATGAGTATGCGTTTTATGCTAATTTTTCCATACGCTGAATTGAGTGACGGTTATCTGTTTTCGTACATGCTCCAAACCTTTTTAACTCTAAAACGAAACAGCGTACATGAAAATTTCTTTTACAAAATTACTAGAGTTATCATTCTATTACTAGAGTTGCTAGAGCCATTATTACTAAAGTTGATATAGTGATTCTTACTAGAGCTGATAGAGTTTTTATTCTATCACTAGAGTTGCTAAAGCCATTTTTACTAGGTATGATAGAGACATTACTCTATTACTAGAGTTGCAAGAACCATTATTACTAGAGTTGATATAGTCATTCTTACTAGAGCTGATAGAGTTATTACTCTATTACTAGAGTTGCTCGAGCCATTATTACTAGATATGACAAAAACATTATTCTATTACTAGAGTTATTAAAGCTAGTACTAGAGTTGTAGTACTAGAGTAGTAGTAGTACTAGAGTTGATAGAGTCATTATTACTAGAGTAGCTAGCTTCGTTTCTCTGTTACTAGAGTCATTAGTCTATTAATAGAGTTGCTAGAGTCTGAATTCAATATTTTTAGTGTTCTTTTTACCTTGTTCTAAGTACTATGTCAGTGGCTTCAACACATCAACACAACAAGTAAAAATGGCAACAGACGAATTACATGAACCGTTATCATTCAATAATTCGTCATCATAATTCAATATTATGCTACAGCCGAGGGAATTGCAGTTGACTAAGTTACAGCAAATTTTATATTTAAACGACAATGTGTAGAAGTACGATAGCTTTGGAGGCAATGGGAATATCCTTTCTACTGCAACATTTTACAACTGAATATTTTCCCATATACTTAACATCATGGTGAAGTTTGACGTCAGTTATTTCAGAGCACAAATTGAAATTCAAAATCTTATGATGAAACAGTAAAGGAAGACATCCGCTGTAAGATGACGGCATACAATTTTATTGGTCATTGGTGGATGAAAAATGACAACGCATTACGTAGTCTGACAAATTTTAATAAGACAATTAATAAAAAAATATTTAAGTGTGCGCGGTATAGGCGATCGTTCTGCCGCCTTTAATTGAAAGGACGCCTGTAACATTTTTTCCGAAAAATTGTTACCGCATCCATGAGTAAAATAGGCCGATCTGTTACTATTCTTGTTTTTTAACCAACGTGAATAAAGGAGAAGGATCTCAATTCGATTGTTTATGTTTTTGTTTTTAACGCGAATAGTTTGGCTTATTTATAAACCGATTTTGATGATTCTTTTTTGTTGGAAAGCGGGTACCTCAATATTACTTACAATGGTACTTCTAAGGGTGGTAAACTAAGGGATGAATCCGGTTCCGCTTTTTTTATAAAAAAATATTATTCGAGGTGGATAAAGTACTAATTTACAGCAAGAGAAAAGATGATTTATTTTTTATTTCACATCTTTAAACTTTATTTTCCCTTTAACCGCGGCAGCGTTGAGGTTAATAAAAAAACACGTTCCCCGCGGCACCCTTCGATGGCCACCCGTTATATGTCTCACTGCAGGGCACGCACCTCTTCGTTAAGGCCATAGTTCTAATTGGAAATCCTTGTATAAGCAGTCCAGTTGCCACTGGACTGCTTATCAATCCTTTGATAAGCAGTCCAGTGCTAACCCGACCTTTGTGCGAACCTTTTTCGACATGCAGCTTCCATCACGATATTTTCGTTCAACGTTAGCGAAAGATATTGCTCGTTAACATTCGCAAATGGACGTAAATTAGAAATTAAATGGTATCAGATGGATTCGAACCCCTCAATTAAGGCGATTCACCGGATGAGAAGCGAGAAAAACTGTTTTGCATCTTCTTCGTTCTAGCCGTTCTCGAACTTTTCTGTAATCGTTTTTGGCACTTCATGTCATCCTTCCAACACATTTGTGGTCTCCTTCTGTGGGGTTTTTATCCCTAAGGTCCCCATTCGAGCACCGCCTTACTCCAGGAGCCATGCTTTCGAGCCATGTGACCCGCCCACCACCACTTAAGACTCGTCGAAAACATCTAACTTTACACGTCATTTTTAAATGGAGATATTTTTCTTAAGTACTACAGAAAACCTGCTAAATTTTGGTTTTGAAGTAAAGCTCCTGTAGTATTAAATTCACATTTATCCCAAACCTTGATAATGGCCCAGCGGTTTAACGACACGTCGCGCCGGCCTATGCCCCACAAGTCACCATCGGGAGCTTCTCTACATTGGATCTGTGTCACAAATATTCTCCGTCTGTTCTGATTTTATGATTTATTCTAAGCGCGCGAATTCCGGGGCGCGAGTACACACACACACACACACACACACACGCACACACACACACACCCACACACACACACACACCTCCTCCTAAAATGTAAGTAGTGAAGACATTTAATCTTAGCAATAATATCCGTTATTACTCCCAATAAAATATTT